AAATATGTGAACGAAATTTTTGTGTTAGGTGTGGAAGTATTCATCGCTTCATGTTGGATCAAGCACCTTTAGTCGTACAACGCACCATGTTGAACCTACTGGCTAGTGTTCTTAGTCCGACACTATTCCAAGCATTCTCTTCACGTCTCAACCACCGATCGATAACTGTCGGAGAGGAGTATAGGTATCAATATTCTTGCTTATCGTCAAAAGTATCTCGCTGAGAAAAAAAATCGTTTTTCCTTCTAATTCATTGATACCAGCGCACCGTAACCAGATCGTAACCAGAAACTGAAGGAATGTCTTTGTTGTAAGCGGGATTCATGATGAAAATGCAGCCCTGAAAACCAAGTTAAAGGTGGTCAGCCGTCCAGGTACTAAGAAATACCATGGGAAACGACCCACACCCCGAGAAATGGAACCCCTTCTCTGCCTTGGTTTCTCATTGAATGCAACTTTCGGCACTATTGCATTATTACAACCCCAGTGGGGGCCGAGATGGGTCAAAAAATAATTTTCGCTGAAACTTTTGCTATGGGGGTTATCGAGGGTCCTGATCACGAATATGACATCCATTTTTGGCGCTGGCGCCAAATTGGCGCCATTTGGCGCCAGCTGGCGCCACACTGATTATCACCAAATTCGCTGTAAACTTCTGTATAGGGGTTATTTGGGGCCCTGATCACGAATATGACACTGGTTTTTGACATTCGTGCTGTTTAACGCATATTTTCTGCTTTTCTAAGCTTTCTCACCTATGGCGCCTAGGACTAAGCTTAGGGGAGGGGAGTGAAACTCCGGAGTGGGTAAACCACGCACCGTGTGGCAAAAGTTGGAGTGTGTTAGACCACAGGGGAGTGGCCTACTCACTTTGGAGCCCTCCACTATTCAAAGGCTTAGTCCTGATTGCGATCTAATTAGTGCGAGGGCGCAGACGAGCAGGAAATAGGCGCCGAATAGCGCTAACAACAAAAACGAATGTCATATTCGTAATCAGGACCCCAAATAACCCCTATACAGAAGTTTACAGCGAATTTAGTGGGAATCAGTCGTGGCGCCACCTGGCGCCAAATGGCGCCAAATTGGCGCCAGCGCCAAAAATGAATATCATATTCGTGATCCCTCGATAACCCCCATAGCCGAAGTTTCAGCGAAAATTATTTTTGACCCATCTCACCCCTACTGGGGTTGTAATAGTGCAATAGTGCCCAACTTTCATCGATGAAGCCCTCTTCGACGCTAACGCTCTCTCTGCTAAACGGCTGGAGTCAGACGGCGAGGTTGTGAGAGGGCAGCTGCGCGAGTTTCGCGGGAAGGGTCTTATAGGGCCGCTAAGGCGTACTGTTTGTTGCGAAATACGCATCATCCCGCACCCTTAAGTGAAAATGTCGTGGTCGTAAGGTAGTGGTCTATGAGCGTTAATATCTATACGTCGTGGCTATCCAAAGCGCTGAAGAAGTCGCCTATTTTTATTATTTTGACTTTTCATGATGATGTTATCATCGTGAAATCAATTTTCTTTAATGTGCTCCTGTGTCCCAATGGGACCTTTTTAGTTTTTTTTTTCAATTTACGTACTTTTGACTGCTTCTAGGGTTTCTAGGGTTGACTTTGAGACACCTCGTATCGTACCACTATCTGACACATCATCGGAAGCCGATGAGGACGCTGGATGTACACTACCTAAGGTGCAACTTAAGTTCTGGATTTGATTTCATTTTGAAAGCTCCAGTGAATAGGTTTGATCACTCGTTGATCTTGTAAGCCGATGGATTCGTAAGCAATTTGTAAGTGAATTCTAACTCGATCAGGCTCACCATAGTAACTGAAGTGGATCCAGAGAAAGTTCCAGAACTTCAGGATATGCAGCACAAGAGGGTGATTCCTTTACCTTATATGGAGCAAAATGAAACACCGCATACTTCCAAGCGAAGGCGCAAAACAATGGCGTCTCTTTTGGGCGACACTGAATACTTTGTTTGTAAGGTAGAAATCAGTCTTATGGATATGATTTTCTTTTCTTATCGGAGACTTTTTTAGCATTGTTTCAAATCATTCAATAGACGTTCGAATATGGTCCGTCACATCGACCGAACGCATTGCGAGCGAGTCGTGTTCACTTGTCCTCAATGTCCAGCCTTCTACAAACACGCCTTTCATTTTGCGGTCAGTGGGCGAACTCTTCGTTTGCTTTTTCGCCACCAATGTGCGGATACAACCCAAGTAAATATGGTCCGAAATATTGAGGGAAACATGTAAGAAATATCCTTTTAGAGCTTTCTGAGTCCATCACAGACCCGTCGTATAACAACATATGGTTTGATAATATTTAACATTTCTAGGATCATCTTCGTGGTCACGAGGATGAACCTCAATTTGTGTGTGACAATTGTGAGAAGCGCTTCAGCTCGCGGAATCAACTGAAAGCCCATGTGAGAAGAAACTGCAAGGTAGCGCTGTACGCAAAAGTAAGATCCTAAGGCTGCTTGCCAAGTAGCTGGTCAGGGCAGCTTCACGACCCTCAGGACTACGTACTGATCGCGGAGAGTCAATCCATTTCTAATCTTTCCCCAAACTCCGCGTTGAACTATCTAATTGAATTGCTGTTGAATGAAATCGAAATTGCCTCTGCATTCATGCAAAGAGAGCTAAGCATTTCAAGTACTTCCGTTTTCAACAATAACGGCACGGGCAATTGCGAAAAAATTTAGAGAAAGATGGAGATCCCTTCAAATGCTTGCTGCGAAAAATCTCAAGAAATAGTACGTGACGCGCTAGGACGAGAAATACTACTGCGAGAGACTAATAACACACAGATAAGTTGACAGTTGTTTCTGTAGGAGCCATACCCTAGGACATATCACGAGCATAGCAGACCATTGCCACCAGTATGCGCTCCTAGCTCACAGAGGCAGTGTATATGAGCAATCCTTCGTTCGAGAGCGAGCTCCTCATGGACAATATAGAAACTCAAACCTTTGGCACTAATCGATTTCTGCAACTGTGAGTTAGCGAGAGAGTACGGCGAGTGCTATGGCTATACTAACGCATATACTCAAAACCCGAAATATGAATGATTCGGAAATTTGTCTTGACTCTATTGTTTCAAATTAGTGATGTGCGGAACCACGAAGTTATACGATAAATGTTCTGTTCTTTACAATTAACTTGATGGTTGCTTCCCGCTATGTTATTTTCTTAAATAACCAACTTCCTTTACATAGTTCTGATCAATCAAATCAACTTTTTCCCAAAAAAAAACGCCTATTTACTCTCAGCTTTATTGAAGCCTCATGTACTGCCTTTTTCGTCATAAAAAACACCCACTTTCACATGTGCAGGCAATCCAAGTTCATCGCCAGCCTGACTCTTGCCATCAGATCTTGCAGTTGACATTTCTAACTTTTTAGGTACGGCAAACAGTACTGGACGATTTCATATTCCGTACGATTTTCAGGTGACATTATAAACTGTGAGTTTTCTACCTGTATAAGTTCGAATGATCTTCAAACTAGGAAAAATATTTTTGCTCAGAATGGAAGCAGCTTCCCGTCCTATTGTCTTCCAAATTCTGACGTGCCAGTGGGCTGTCATGACTACAGCTGGTAGAGGCAGCGGAACACGTCTTCATGGTGAATATTCATTTTGGATTCACTTCAGCTCGATCTTTACCTCTGATGTATGTTGGCATAACGGGCCAACGAGCATTGTCTGTATTACTACTGATATTATTGTCATTTAAGACATATTTCGTCAGAATGCAGAGTTAAGGAGAAAGGTGAGGCTTGTTCATCAAATGTTTTCGGAAAGTTCATTCCTTCCATTGAAATCAAGCATTTGGGGGCTGCAATCTCTGTGCAAGTTTTAGTTGAAATTTATAAGCTGTTCTCCTTAATAAAGTTGAAATGCGAATGTTGCAATTATGTTTTGGGTGGCTGGAATTGCCAATGGTATTTGATACGTCCGCCAGGGAACGACGCCAGTGTAGCCATTGTTCAACGTTTGCCTTTTTCCAGGAAGAATTCATGCATAAATCTGTTCTTCGATAAGATTAGTTTATGTCGCTCACTCAAATTAAGGCTTTAGCGGTGCATTATGAAGTTTAACAAACTATCTTAATTACATGAATATATCAATCACTAATGTAATGAACATAGCTTTTTATGCTAGTAAAGCCCTGAGTATTTAATTTAAGTAATTCAGTTTCGTGTTTTTTTTAATTGAAGCTTGTCTTCTTCCCCCTTCTTTTGTTTTTTTTTTGATCACACAAATGACTTTCAGATTTCAAGCTAAGGCTAAGCCCGCTGGTCCAATTCTACGGTGTAGATTCCAAGAACGGTTAGAGTTATGTTACTCCGATAGGATTTCTTCTTATTCATTTTCGTTTACATTAGATACCATGGTCAACATTCATCAAAATCGTTTTTAAGGTATTGCGAAACATGTATTTTTATCTACGAAAAGTGCTGTGGATGGATTGTCAGTGGATTTACTCAACTATTCCCTGCCCGTAGATGCTGCTGTCCTTTTCCCTGATAGTAGCAGTTGCCCTGCGGATTGCTTGACAAGTTTAACAGCATACATGAGTGAAAGAGATAGTGAGTGTTTTTCTCCTTGAAATAACAAGCATTTTCTTCCGTCTGACTTTGTAATTCTCGATAGAGTATATGTGTTCATATGAAGTGTCCTATGTGAAATACTTTGCAACTTCACTTGAAGATGACGCTGAAAATCCCTTTGATAATGACTCGTGATACTAGGAGCAAAGTTTGCAATTAATAAGATATCATCTGTAACTAAGATGAATGGTTGGCGATAACGATTTCTTGGATGTTTTTGCTCATTTATTTATTTGTCACGCACTCAAGGTGCGCCGTCGGTAAATACAACAGTGTTACTACAACACAGAATAAAACGAGTCACGTCCTAGGCTGAGAGCCGTGCAACAAGTACCCGTGCACTGCCCTATGGAAACGCGTAAGAGGGAACACGTAATAGTCAAAAGAGCATGACAAGGTAGGGAAATGACTTGGTCGACAAGGATGATCCATGAAAGTGTTATTATATAGTTTAGAAAAAATATTTGCCTTGCTCAGGGTACACTAAGAAAGGAGCGAATGCTATAAAGGCACGCTCCGTGATCAGGTGTTCACCTGTTTCCATCTCCTAGCGTAGTAAACAGGCCAAAAGCGTTGATGTCGCGCCCCTTTTGCGGCTTGAAAGTGCGCGACAAAGGCGCTAAAGCTCGCTCAACCCGCAATCCACACCTTCGTCCGCAAGCCCCACCCGAGGTCGACTGCCACGTGTCGTTTTGAGAAATGCGCGCCCGCAATTGCGGCGGCGGTTGCATTGCAATTCCAGTGTCATTGGCACTGGAGCAACTGTCGCTAGGTTCGTGAAACTCGTCCAACACGCCCTTCTCCATCCAGGTGATGGAAGCTAATAAATGACGTCCTTATTTGGGGCGGGGACGTAGCGGAGTTTTCGCTTGCTTTCTTTTTTTTAGCCACTCCACCTCAGCTTCTTGAAAGGTCTCCTCTTCAATCCCGTGGCTGGTTTTAACTGAGAGCGAGCTTTCCCCTTTTAATTGGCTGATAAAGAAATACATCTAGACGTCTGTAATTTAGCAACTTCAACCGCAGGCCATTACCGTGTATCGTGTAGTGGAGAAATGGAAACATAAAAAAAACGGGAAACTAGGGTCAGCCCGGTCAACACAACCACCGCAGCTCTACCGAGGCGGAGCCCGACTACTTGCCTCTCTTAGCAAAATGCGAACCTCGGGCTTCGAAACCAGATTTCGAAGTGGCAGTAGGGTTTTCTAGGCTAGCTGTTGATCCTACTACTCATGAAACTACAAACTAAACTAAGCTAAAAAAAGAGGCGCCATGGTGTGACGAACACAGCCCACATACGCAAGAAAAAGGACCACAGGTCGTGGAGCAAAATGACTGGTGCACTATTTCAATGGCATTTTGACAGTAATTCTCACAAATCAATTCTTATCAATATTATTTACTACAAACATGACAATACAAAAAATGTTAATGCTTCTCAAAATGATCTCCTTTAGCCTTCACACAGTCCTTCAGACGTTCGACAAATGCTTCGCATGTGGCACGCAGGTACTGGTCATCGATTTCGTCCCAAGATTTTGAAAGCGCCGCCTTAAGAGAGTCCAAGTTTGGATGTCTGGTAGAACACGCTTTGCTCTCCAAGATGGACCACACAGAGTAATCCATCGGGTTTAGATCAGGAGAACTGGAGGGCCATTCGTCGTGTCTGATGAAGTCGGGCAGGTGCTCGGCGCACCACTCCTGGACCATCTTTGCTTTGTGTGCTGGAGCAGAATCCTGCTGGAAGCACCAGTAGGCTTCTCCGAAATGGGAGTTGGCCCACGGCTTGAGAACTTCCTCCAGGATATTTTTGTAAACCTCTGCGTTGATTTTTACACCAGCTTCAACGAAAACAAGTGGGGTCTTCCCCGTAGAGGTGACTCCTCCCCAAACAAGAATGGACTGGGGGTGTTTCGCTCTTTCCTGGAGTCTTGCCTTGGTGGTAGCATCAGCAAGTGATCCTGCAATAATCCTCTCATTTTGGGAGTTGAAGGCTGGATTCAGAGTAAAAATCTTTTCATCACTGAAAACGATGTCTCGGGCGCGTGCCACCGTGAATCGCTGCAGCAACTTCTTGCATCTCTCCAATCTCCTTTTCTTCATAATGTCCGTCAGGAGTTGGCATTTCTGCAAGCGATAGGGCAGAACTTCCTTAGCTTACTTCTGACAATCCTCCTCATTGACCTCGCGCTTACTCCAACGTCTTTCGCCATCTGGCGCATCGATCTCCTGGCGTTCCTTCGAATTCTTTCTCTGACGAGCCTCACATTTCTCCGACTCGTAGCTGTTGTGGGACGTCCTCTTACGTCCTTTTCCTTTGGCGTCTTCAGTTCTTTATAGCGTCGTACTGTATTCTGAACCGTCCTTCGAGGTACGGAAAGGATCTTCACAATTTCTCTTGTTTGCTTGCCGTCGTTGTGAAGTTTGATGATCGCGCTCCGTAGGTCAGAACGACGGACCATTTTGTATTCGAGTACGTAGGAATTACGCAACCTCCAGGCAACATATCACAAGCGAGTGAAACAGGAAAATCTCCAAGAAGTGTTAAAAAATTCAAAACGTATAGGTGCACCAGTAATTTTGCCCCACCCTGTAGTGCAGGAGCATGTGGCAGAACCCGCAACACAAAAGTGATTGTATTGTGAGTAGCGCAACCATCGACGTAAAAATAAATAAATATCTGTCAACAGCACTTCACAGCGGCTAACAGGCTCAGTCTTATACCCAAACTGTTTGGAAAATTGGATGGGGAGGTAACAGGAAATAAGAGGAGCGGATAGAAAGATCAATAGGAAAAGAACAAAATACAATCGTCAGAGCTCCTGCATAGCTACGTGACAGTAGACAAGCGCTTCTGCGTCGGAGATCATAGAAGAAGGTGGCTGCAACTGTAGTATTGCAAAGGGGGTTGATAAAGAGATCGGCCAGTTAACAGCTAATGTAACGGGAGTAGGACGGATTGATCAAGATTTCCACCTGCCTATGCAACCTTGCTGTCGCACCTATGCAGAGTGCCTGTGGGCACTTAGCATATTGCATTGCGCTGCCTGATGACCTGGTCGATGTCATTGTGATCAATCAAATATTGAAATAAACTAATATTTCTGATGAAGATGACAAAAACGGGAATTTATCGCAACAGGCGTGAATCCATGGGTGCTTTCAATAAATTTACGTAAAACTTAAACCACTGTGCGTTTACGGACACAAAGGTATTCCCTTTTCACATGCATCATATGAAAAATGAAGTAAGATGAGTGAAAACAGCTTCGATGGAAGAAAGTGAGCTGAATGAATATTGGGCTTTCGGAAAGTTTTGTGATTTTTGATTTTTTCTCACTGTTGAATGCTTCAATTATAATTCTGACTTTCGAGAGTCTGCTGAAAGCGCGTTCCTCGCTCCGTTGTAATCTACTATTACTTCAACCCCGGACAGTTTTCCCCTTTTGAGCCTTTAATAAACATAACAGGTTGTTTTGCACGAGTTTCTTGTTCACCGCAAATTTGGTTGGAAAAGTGTGGGAGCAAGTTGGGATGTCAACTGAGCATTTGGTCCCGAATCCACAAAATACACGGTGTGCAATTGTGATTCAAAACGTCATTCTCGCGATGGTGAAGGCTTAGAGGAAGAATAGGGTGAAGATCGGATAACGGACACTGACAAACAATAACTGAGGGTGTTCATCGAAGTAAATCTGCATGGAACTGTTCAACAGGCCTCTTCTAAATCTGATTGTTGTCGTATAACTTCAGATGTGATGAGATGGGCTTCCTAAATGTCCAGATGAGGATGAAACGTTCAGAGAAGTCGACGAGTGGGTGCAGCCGACTCCTCTCCCACAGTT